TCTTTGTTCCTTATTTCTTTGTGATCACTGTCTTTTGTTACTTGATAACCACTGTCTTGAAAAATCACTGGATTATATATTCTTTCCACTTTTTTTGGATGTTGTTTTCGACTGTTTCAGGTAAGATGTGCTCTCTGTTATTCCATCTCAACCAAAAGTGGAAACCTTGGTTGATTTCAAATTTATAATTTGTTATGATTTCTTTTCTCATTCTTAATATTCACTTTTCTACTTAATTTTCATTTGCAATTTTGTGTTCTCTTTCTTAAAGAGGGCCCTCAACCTCGGGTCCTTTACCCAGGCTCTTGAGCCGAACCCCCTGGTTAGAATTCTGCCTCCACCACTTAGTAGCTTGTGACCATGAGCAGCCTCAGTACCTCAGTTTCTTCATCCTATAAAATCAGAATAATAGGAATTACCTCATGGTGTTGAACATCAAGCGAATTATTTCATCTAAACTACTTAGAAAAAATCCTGGAACATAGAAACCATTCAAGAATAGTAACGGACATTTCTACTCTTGAGCATCATTAATGTGTAAGTGGTACTATAAATTATGGGATCATTTACAGAGAGTGTGAAGCTTAGGATGGAACCCCACATACATGATAAGAGCAGAGTGTAGACCACAAAGGAAATAGAGTAATGGCCAGAAAGCAGGAAGTAGAAGAATATGGTGTCCTGGAAAGCAAAGTAGGCAAACATCCAAAGGAGAGGTTAAACATCAAAATGAGGACTTAGAAATGACCCCTGAATTAGGCAATAGAACAGTCACGACTGATGCTGTGAAATGGGGGTAAAACAAGCTATATCACATATGTTAATGAGTATTAATTGAGATAATTCATGCTAATTCCTCAGCACAGGACTTGGCACATATGAAGTGTTAAAAATATAAGATATCTTAATTGTTATTGTTAAATATGTTTGCCTTTTGTGTCACTGGACCCAGCCCTTGTCTTACCATAGTATATCAATATTAGGGCAGATACAGAGTCTCTTCTGGTCCTACTGTCTCTATTTTCTTTATCTTACCATCACCCATACCCCAAGGTATGACACTAGAAGTCCTTCTGTCAAGCAAACACAAGCACGTGCATGCATGCACACATACTCACACACACTACATACTATACACATGCCACATACACACATCAAAGTCTATCCTGCAAGATCCTTTCTTTTTACCAAGGGCAGTCATTTCCCCCTACCCTGACACTCCCAGTCTATCTCATTAAAATAGTATAGACGTCATGAACAATTACTACTTTCTGTGGATTCAAAGGCCAAGGCCAATCCTGGGTCACGTGGCCACATTCTTTCCAGGCTAGGAGAGATGCTTGGGCCCCTCTGGCTTCTGCAGGGAGAAGTACAGCCCATCTTTCCACGAGGATTTCTTCCAAGTAACAAGGGAGACTAGATTCTTAGCAGCCAAAAACTAGTGGCCGCTGTGCCCTACAGCCAGCCAATTCCAGGCTTTAGGATGTAACCAACTAAACCAAAAATAATAATTTTGACAGTCTTGGAATTTAGATCAAACACCTTGAGTTATATTTCCAAATTCTCTTTTTAATTTGGGGAGGCACCAAATCCATTTGGTCACTTGTTTATAAACCCACATAGATTCCAGGTGAAACGTTTAGTTCTTGTGGTTCTGATTCATTGCTGTGTGAAACATATTAATGCTATTTGCATTAAAAGCAAGGCAGGTCTATGTGGAGCTCCAAATTATACCTTTCAAGATGGGAAGTATAATTTGTACCAAGAGTCAACTGATTAAAACCCCAAATGCACCTGTGTTCACTCTGAAAACCTGCTACCCAGGCTTATCTGAACCTTGTGCTGTGAGTCATTCTAGATGACTAAATCTCCAAATACTTGAAAATTCTATCATGTATACACAAAACTTAAAAGTTTTAGTGATTTGAGACAAAAATCTTTCTAAACAAATACATTTCAACTTCCTTAAAGTGAATATAATTTTATCTCCTCTTAAAGACTCGGGGTCATCAATGAAAATATCAGTAAGTGACTCAGTCTAGATTAGGTGTAAGAGTCTAAGGGTTATTTAACCCCACACTAAATGTGCCCAGGCAGTTGGTTTTGGGCTCTGGAGACTATTACAGTAGTTTTTCTGTCTCCCATCTTGTTGGAACTTGTCATTTCCTGCTGTTATCAGTTTTTCTGTCTGTAGTAGCTTCTCCTACATTTAATTATTTGCTGCTTTTTATATTTAAGAGCTTAGAAAACTTATTAGAATTATATGTAAAGTTAGTGCAAATGGATTCCAAATGGAGATTTTACATGTGAATAAATTAAAGTTACTCTGAGGCTTTTTCTGAAAATAGGTTGGTTATAAATAAATAAAACAAGTGAAACATTTTGTGACATCGATTTTGGCCTCTTTGGTGATTTACTGGCTTGTTTTGTCATTCTTGGCCATGCCCTACACTGGTGGGCGGTAGGAACCTCACAAGGGGACTAGGCTTCAGGTGTGCTTTACTCGCTCTAAAACGTCATGGGTGGCAGCTGGGTTAGAAATGGAAGCAGTCACTTGGATTGGCAACTCGTGAAATATCTCAGGGAAAGACTTGCCAATGATTGTGGCAGGCGGCAAAAGAGCCAGGGGAGGAGGGGGAGGGAGGGGCAGAAGAAGGCAGCCTCACAATTTCCTTATTCCTTACAGAGAATTACTAAAAGAATGAGGTCTTCCCCATCCCCGAGGGAACTCTGTTCCATAAGTTTGGCTGTGAGTGGGGTCCCTGCCCACAAGGAGACCTCGGGCTATTAGACGCCACACTTCCTTCCTGCAGAAATGGCTTCCAGGCAGGGCTTCTTCCTCTGCTGCCTCTCCCTGCAGCACACCATCCAGTCACTGGATTTTTCTGTACCAGGAGAAACCCCAGCCCAACATTTCAGTATCATCCTGGGGTGCATTTTCAATGGGTGAGTGAGATCCCAACCATTTAATTCCTTATACAGCAGAAATCTCAACTGTTCCCAGGACTCTGCACATTGGCTCAGGAAAGGCCCTGCTGCTTCTGTTCCCCCAAAGTCTCCTGGCGTGAGACTGCAGAGGTGCCCCACCATTCCTTGCACTGGGACATTGCTCAGGCGAATGGCCCTCCTCAGGCTGTGGGGGGCCCTCTGGGGAGACAGGTGCCCTTGTCCTGGAACGCACACTCACATCCTAACCCTCTGTCCCCAGAGAGGCTGGCCTGTGAGCTTCTTTCCAGCCTTTTACAGCCTCTGGGCAACTCACACTTACCTGACCTATTTTTACAAGCTCAAGACAGAGAGCATAGAAAAGTGTTGAATCACTCTGGGGTCTGTGTCCTGGTTCTAAAGTTCAATGTCAAAGTGAAATTCTGCCTTTTAGTGGATTCTGATGAATGTCAGCTCATGTTTCTTTATTTTTCTTTTCCTAGAGTGAAAGGAGAGAGAAGTTTTTTTCTTTCAGAAGAGTCTATATTCCATATTTACAAAGATCTTAAGGGCTATACATTTTCTTAATGACAGGAAAAGTAAAGATTTTCCCTATTCACCCAAGAGGACAGAACAATTTTCTCTTTTATTATTGGGGCATTGTCTTCCCTCTTCATCTCCAGCTCAGTGTCCTGGGTCTCTAGGCACATAGTAGCTACTAAAGAAATATTCATTGGTTGAATGAATGAAAGAACGAACGGATAGATGGATGGCTGGACGGACAGACGGACGGATGGGTGGGTGAATAGATGGACAGGAAAATGTCTCTGCATTGTTGCCTTCCAGGGTACCTTCCCAACTTGGCAGAAACCTCTCATAATGCTCCTTGGTAGCTCTTCTTCAGGGATCTGCCCATCAAAGAGACATCTTTTAAGCCTATTTGGGGTTCATACAATAGAATTTAATAATGAAGACTCCTTTATTTGATTCTTTGCTATCTTTTGCAGAAGAGCTGGATGAAAACCTGGCTGCCTGGGTCCTGGCTAGAATTTCTCAGTGAATGGTTGCATGGTTGTGTGCTTCCAGCACAGCTCAGTTCTGTCAGGCCCCTTGGCATCTGCTTTGTCCTGGAATGGCTGTGCACAGTTTGGGGTCTGGACAGCAGTTCCAATGGCTCTTCTGGGGCTCTGAAGCAATTAAAGTTGGGGCCTGTTTTTCTTTGTCATGAGGCTGTTGGATTTTTTGGTCTTTTTAAAAGCCTCTGCAGTTGCTAGCTTTGCTCTAAAGGGTATCATTCCTCAGATATTCCGGGTTGCCACTGCCCACTGGCAACCCTGCAGAGAAAAGTGCCCAGGCTGCTGGCCCCACAGAGTGCGGGAAGCCAGGGGCTCAGTTTCACAGAACCAGACCAAGCCTCACTAGTATGACTCAGTGACTCTAAGTCCCCAACCTCCCAGCCCTGCGAGTCTTTCTCCCTTTCCCGCAGCTGAGCCAGGACTCGGAAGACTGTTTCCTCCTCCTGATGGGACCCCCTCATTAACATGTCTTCTTTTCTCTTTTTCTCTGCTCCAGTTCCATCTGCAGCTTCCTAATCACAGCATTGGCAACCTCAGATCGGGTCCTGCTCCTGATACAGTGCGTCTAAGAGAGGGCTTCAAGTCAAGAGAAGATGGGTTTGTGGTCGTGAGAAGTGAAGGAGCCCTCCTAGGATAGCAAGAGGCCACATCTGGAATGCACGGTGCTTGGCATGGGAAAGGTATGCTCACAATCGTCACGGTTAGGGTATCTGCATAATCTTAAAGTGATCCCCACATATTATTAGTTTCTTATTCGTTGTGAGGGAGAAAAAAAAACCAAAATGGTATGAGACCAGGGAGAAACCGTGCAATACTTTTTGACCAGGTGATCAAAATTAACCTCATTTCTGCAGTACAGATGACATTGTGTGGCTCTTGATGTGACACCCTGGATAGGACAGTATTCAGGTTGAAATTACATAACCTCAATCCGACCATGAGGAAACATGAGACAAACACACAACCAGGAGCATGCTATTCAAACAAAAATGGTGCGTGGTGCTTGCTTTGACAGAATATATGTGAAAATTGAAATAACAGAGAGAAGATTAGTATTGCCCTGCACAAAGATGACACAAATTTGTGAAGGACAAAAAAGGGTATTGGTGGTGGGTGATGGTGGAGGGGGTCAGATGGGGGAATCAACATCGTGAAAGCCAGATCAAAGGAGGCTAAGGAGAAATGACAACAAAATGCCATACCTCACCCTAGACTGAATCCTATACTGGAGATGGGGAAATGCCATAAAGGACATTGATAAGTTAATTAATAAAAGTGACATATAGTGATAGACTAGATAAAGTGCTTTGCCAAGTGCCAGATCTGACCTGCAGACCCTGGCTGAGCAATGGATGAAAGAATGCACTCAGACAGAGGTATCCAGTGAAAGAGCAGGCTAGGAGACCGGGCTGTTTATAGACTCTGAGGAGGGTGCTGTAGAGTCAGCAGCTGTGGCCCTGACCCGCTGGTGCTGCAGGCATTTATTCAGTACAGATTCAGTGAGAAAGGCCTGAGTCAACACACCTGGGGGCCACCACCCCCCAACCTCCCCACCCAGAGAGAGCAGTCCTGTGCGCAGATGACTAAAGGCCAAGTTACGAGGCCTGAGTAAGCTAACTTATCTAGATCCGTTTCTTTACATCCCCTTGTTATCTAACCTAAGCTTTCAGGCACTGGATTAGAGAATCTGGCTGCCTTCAGCCAAATCCTTTTCCAAAGCTTTTGTAAAACCTCCTGGCCTTCCAAGAAGGTTTGAGTCTTTCTACAATTTTTCCCACCACCCTAACCGATCTCCTACATCTCCTCTTTTTCTGTTTTTTTTTTTTTTTTGCATCAGGTTTTGTTGATTGAAGAGTACAGATTTGCACAGCAACAGGTTCGTCAGGCGTGGCGGTCATTGGTCATATTCCAGCTTTGCATCCTAGAATTAGTGAATAACATAAGCAAACATGAGTATAATTAGCAACATTCTTTTCCAGTGAAGGAGTGGCCCCCAGGAATGGGGGTCCATGCAGGAGAGATGATCTCGCACACCCTTCCATATGGCTGTTTGTTGGGTATGTGGATCTATGGCATTTAGGGAGTCTAGAATTTTAGTTTTAAGTTGCTTTATGTCTACTGTTAAATTGTCATGAAAGGTTCCCCAGAGGTGTTGTTTCACCTCATCCCAACTGTGTATTGATTGATTCCAAGGAAGAGAAGTGACACAGGTATGCTTATGTCCCAGTCACAGTTTAATTGCTGTTGGAATGCCAGTGCATCTTGTCACTCCCCCACATCTTCCAAGGCAGCCTTGAGGGCTTGCAGACATACAAGAATCTTTTGATCTATATCCTGCTGTAAGAGAAGTTCATTAGACACATTTCTGGCCAAATTATCTACAAAAGCAGCTATTTGTACTGACTGAGTAATAGATGCTACAGCCACACTAGCAGTTGCTAGGATGACGATGGCTGAGACTATAAAGGCTATACGTGTGTGAATCTTTTGTGTCTGAACTGGGACAAGGCACATTCTAAGGTGGCAAGGGCAGAGGAACCTTGCCAATCATGTATTAAATTGACTGGTAGAAAAGCCTCAGATTGTCTCCTCAATACTATGACACTGGTAATATTTAAATTAGATATATTATAATTAGAGATACAAGAGGCAAACCAAGTCTGTCCCTGCACTCGGGTCACACATGTGGAGTTTTGGGGTGTAATAGAAATATTGGTTCCCATAAGGGAAAACATATGGATGGGTAGTGCAAATCAGACACTGATCAGTGTAATTATGAAAAAAGGTCATAGTATAATTGTGACTGGAGTTATGGTATGTCCCGTGCCAGGTGTTAAGGGGGGTGCTAAGATGTCCCAGGTGCCATAAAGAGTCTTGAGGTGGCATGGACTCTACTTGGGGTCTGGAATATCACATCCTATCAGTCCAAATTATAGGGGAACGGGACGTGGCTTCGAAACTGTCATTGATGCTACCATAGGCGCGGACATCAGTATGATCGCCCTGCAAATGGCTGTGGGGGCTCCAGTCTAAGATGTTATAATTGCCTAACTCTCCCGTGACAGACCTCCCAGCTAAAGTGGAATCCATTACTTTCCCAGCTTTGTTCTTTAGCACAGGAAGGAAGGTTTGGGAAAGCAGCATTGATTGCGTTGCCCAGTTTGAGGCTACCCGCAGCTGAGAATGTTAAGGCATTCCTTCGCCATGATGTAGCCATAATTGTATTTGGGGCAGGTACACAGTAAGGGTTAGAACTTTTATAACTACACACAGTGGGAGGATAGTGGAGTGATATGTAGTGTTACCAGGCACCTTAGTCCAATGTGTGCCATTAATGAGAGACCCCACTGGGGGTAAATCTGTCCCTCCCAGCCAAGCAGTAATATTATTGAGGGGGAAAAGAGGTGTCTGCCCAGGTGACAGGGCTAAGAAAAGCAGATCTAAGATATGAACAGGATACAGACAAGCAGGTACAGGATGCAGACAAAGCGAGAGCATAAAAAGGATCCGTACCCTACATGAGTGGCAGTGTACTACAGAGAGCATAGCAAGGAACAAATTATCTGGAGTGAATGGTGTCTGTCCGGAGCAGGATTTGTTCAGCCTCCTGAGTTGTCTTCTTCAGCATCCTCCAGGTAACATCTGAGCTTGTGTCATCCAAGGAAGCCACATTGTCCAGGGCTGTGGGTCCTGTAGGGTCATTTTCTTCATTTCTGGTACCAGGTTGGGTCCTAGGCATGCCATGGTGTGGTTTGATGCATCGTGCTGGAATCCAAAGAGGACCTGAGGGGGTGGGGGTGAACACAAGCATATCCTCTTCCCCACATTGACAATTCACTTGGACCACCCCATACATTACTGTCTACATCTTTCCATCAAACTGCAGGTTTTATGTCTGGAGAGGTTTCAGCAAAGTGCTTTTCTACAGCTGATTGAAATTTATCATTTAAATTTAAAAAATTGGCCGGGCGCGGTGGCTCAAGCCTATAATCCCAGCACTTTGGGAGGCCGAGACGGGCGGATCACGAGGTCAGGAGATTGAGACCATCCTGGCTAACAAGGTGAAACCCCATCTCTACTACAAAATACAAAAAATTAGCCAGGCGAGGTGGCGGGCGCCTGTAGTCCCAGCTACTCGGGAGGCTGAGGCAGGAGAACGGCGTGAACCCGGGAGGCGGAGCTTGCAGTGAGCTGAGATCCGGCCACTGCACTCCAGCCTGGGTGACACAGTGAGACTCTGTCTCAAGAAAAAAAATAAAAATAAAAATAAATAATAATAAATTTAAAAAAATTTTAAAAATTAAGGGTAAATAAGGCTTGTGCCAATAGTGTTGCAGGGCCCTTACTCATATTCCTCCTTTTGTGTTTTCTGAACATATTTTTAAGGGTGGAGTGGGTATGTTCTACTATGGCCTGTATTTGGGGTTACATGAGATGCCTGTGGAATGTTGGGTGTTCTACGTGTGACAAAAATTGTTGAAATTGTGAGCTGGCATAAGCCGGACCATGATCAGTTTTAAGTTTTGTGGGCTGCCCCATAAATGCAAAAGTTAAAAGATGTTTAATGACATATTAGGTGGACTCCCCAGGAAAGGCATAAGCACTAATTAAGTGAGAATTGGTATCAACGAATACATGTACATATCTAAGTTTTCCAAATTCAGGGATGTGTGTAACATCTGTTTGCCATAGCTGATTAGGTTCTAGTCCTCTAGGGTTAACACCTGTGGAAGGAGGGGATGTGACTGAGCTGGCAATCTGGGCATTGCAGGATAATTTGTTTAGTCTCTGGGTGAGTTGAAATTGTTTAGATAAGTTTCTCCAGTTTTGGTGGAAAAATTGATGAGATTGGGTGGCTTGGTCAAGCAGTGATGTCATAACTGGTAGGTCTGCTTGTTCATGCCCCAGGTTGCAAAGGGCCAGGCAGTGAGCTGTGGGTTCGAATATGTGTGATAAAAATAGGATGTCCACGTTGATCTAGCAAATGCTGAAGTTGGAGAAAAAGTGCACACAGGGTGGGCTCCAGTGTGGACTTAATGAGGGCTGCCTCAAGATTCTGCAATAAATAAACAGAGTAAACAGAGTCGCTAACAATATTGATGGGCTGAGCGGAAGAAGTTTCCAAGGCCAATATTAAGGCTCCAGCCTCAGCTTTCTGAGTGCTAGTAAATCCAGACCAAGTGAGGGAAGTATGCAAAATCCACCGAACAGTCGTTTTTCCGTGTTTACCAGAACCACCAGTAAACAGTGTTAAAGCCTTAGGTATGGGGTATTGAACTATTTTAGTAGGCAAAACCACAGAAGTACAGATAAGAACTGAAGGAGTTTGTCAGCAGGTAGGGCATGCTCTGTTTGGCCTGTGTAATCAGACAGTGCTATTTGCAGGTCCATAGATAAAGGCAATACTGCTTTGAGTTGCTTTTTACTTAAAGGAATCCTGATGATATCAGGGTCATAACCTAGCAACTGATTGCATCATCTGCAGCCTGAATAGATGACTTTACTGATGAGCTGGATATAGGGAGAGAGTGTTTTAGTCCCGGTATGTGAGCAAAAAACCCATTCTAGGAAGTGCAACCCTGGGGTCATCTGTCCTATTAACCCTGTAGGGGAGTGTTTAGTGGGAAAATCAAACAATCGATCTGAGTACCGTGAGTCTATGCCATCTGGTTGCCTCTGAGAAATAGCTTGCTCTATCTCTTCAATTTTCCCTTTGTGCTGCAGGAGTTAAATACCAAGAGAGTCTAGGGCGGCGTTGCTTTTTAAGATAGAAAACAGGTTCTGTAACTTATCAGCAGATATGCCTAAGGTGGGGCGAAACCAGTTAATGTCGCCTAGTAATTTATGATAATCATTTAAGGTGTATAAGTTGCTAGTATTTAACCTTTTGAGGTCTTACTGACCAGGAAGTTAGCATGTATCCAAGATATTTCCAAGGAGAAGACATCTATACTTTTTCATGTGCTATGATTAAACCTCTTAACTCTGTGTTCTTTATGACAGAGGCATATAAATTTACAAGTGCTGGCTCCATTGGGGCTGCTAGTAAAAGATCATCCATAAAATGAATAATCTTGCAATTAGGAAATTCTTTTCTACTGGGGA